AGTAGCCGGAATTACAGGCGTGTGCTACCACACCCGGCTAATTTTTTGATTTTATTGTAGAGATGAGGTCTCGCCTGCCTAGGCGGGTCTCGAACCCGCTGGCTCAGGCAATCCACTCACCTCAGCCTCCCAAAGGTGCGGGATTACAGGCTGAGCCACCGAGCCCGGCTTTACTTTTTATTTTTATTTTTTTGAGTTGGAGTCTCACTCTGTCGCCCAGACTAGAGTGCAGTGGCATGCTCCTGGCCACCACAGCCCCGATCTGCTAGGCTCCGATGATCCTTCGGCCTCAGCCTTCCAAGTAGCTGGAACTACAGGCACGCACCACCATACCCAGCTGATTTTTGATTTATTGTAGAGACGAGTTGCCCAGGTGGTCTCGAACCCACAGGCTCAGGCAATCCACTTGCCTGGGCCTCCCAAAGTGCTGGGCTTACAGGCTGAGCCACCAAGCCCGGCCCATAAGCCACACATTTTATCTGTGTGGTGAACATATAGAAATAATGTTTATTCGTTTTTAATTCAAAATTTAATTTAATTTAATAATTAAAAAAAACAGAAGATAAGTAACCCTTTGCACTTGGAGACATCTCACAAATCACCAAGCAGCAACTCAACTGCACTTTTTAAAAACAAAATAGTGAAAAACAAATCACTTAATATTAGATAGTATTGTGCTGGAACCAATTTTATTATAATGCCTTTTGACTTATAATGGAATTTTGGATATCAAGGAATTTATTTATGACAAAAAATAAAAATTTTATGGCTTATATTTTTTTTCCAGTGGGTGGTGACGTGCGCAACAGTCACCAACATGCGTTGCAGGTTCATTGATGCATGCTGTGCTGTAGTAATTTGATGGACGTCTTCTCTGGTGTTTTCCTGTTTGAGCAGACAAGGTAGTCTCGTTTTCTTTCTCCCGCATTCATTAAAAGAATTTATTATCCAGTCTGTTGTTCAAAGAAGATGTGGAGGGACACACTTTTGATTCCTGAAAATCACTTTTTAACTGATCAATCAGAAGCTTGACAAATTTCAAATGAGACATAGGTTTTTCATTACTTTTGAGTGGAAAACGTCAAGGGAGCATACATTTTTTTAAAAAATGTGTGACTGCATATGTTTGTCCTGTATAATCACCAGGAAGCTCTTTATGTCCTCTGAGGGAACACCTGAGGGCAATGAGCTAAAAAAAAACCCACCAAAATTAAAATAGGAAGTTCAAAGAGATAAATGTAAAACTGCACATTTGAATTTATAAAAATAATAAAATTCTCAAATACAGAATTAGAGCTCAGATTTACTCTCAGAAACAATAGCAACAACTGTGCAAAATAAATGAAACAATAGTTTTCAAGCAACAGGTGGCAGGCAGTACAGAACTAGATCCTTAAGAGTAGGGAAATAGGCTGGGCTCCGTGTCTCAACCTGTCATCCCAGCACTTTGGGAAGTCAAGACAAGTGGATTGCCCGAGCCTGCGGGTTCAAGACCCGCCCAGGAAACTTGGTGAGACCTCATCTCTACAAAAAATCAAAAATCAGCCGGGCATGGTAGCGCACGCCTGTAGTTCCAGCTACTCGGAAGGCTGAGGCAGAAGGATCGCGGGAGCCCAGCAGGTGGAGGCTGCAGTGGCCGGGAGTGACCACTGCATGCCAGTCTGGGCGACAGAGTGAGACTCCAACTCAAAAAAAAAAAAAAGAGTAGGGAAAAGAACAAGTGAGTCACAAGTT